TGTTTTGGTCTTGGCCCCAACATCTGCACACCAGCCGGCAGTGGCAGCTTCAGACATCTCGAAACTAATCAAGCCTCGGCGCCCGATCTATCTTGCCGCTTTTTATGCCCGTACTCTGAAGCAAACAGGTAGTAAACTATTGCTCTCATACCGGATTCGCTTGACATCAATTCGTCCTGCTGATCAGAAACAGGAAGTCAGAATTCAGTTGCGCTGGTTAAGCTAACTGCACCATCACTATCCGCTCTTTTTGGGATGCGTAAATCAGAATCCAATAGGCACTGCTGCAGGATTTACACGGGTCGGTGTCGTCCGAAGTCATCGGGCAGAAAAACCCTCGCCTTGCTGAATGCCCGTTGACAGTCACCTCTGTGCGGTTCACCTGGTAGCGTCTGTGGAGGAGTCTTCATAGCGGAAATTCGATCATTATCTGCTTGTTGTATCTTCTTTGTCATCCTAATCGACCATATCCCCGACACTGTCAAACAGAACTCTTATGACTGCTAGGTGTCGTTGTACGGGTAGCTAGCAGCTGAGATATCGTTGTCGTTGCCGGAGATCTGATTACACAAGTGGGCCGACTTAGCGCGTCTGACACTCAATTGGGTCGCTTGCTCAGATTAGCTCGACACGTACAGACAATGGCGAACAACTGCTTCGGCTATTTGCTGACCACAACCTGTTTTTATGCAGTACTAACTTCAGAAACGACCGTAGTCATCTGCCCCGATGGTATACTCTGACAGCGTGCCGTGTATTTGGGAAATGTTTGTGGATGCTGATCAGGCCCTCGTTCGGAGTCGCTTCTCTGTTTGTTTTCAATGGCCATGTAAGGTATAGACAGATGACTTGGTAACTAAGACGTTGTCGGATTCCGAGGTTAGACGAATTTATCGGAAGTGTCTTCAGATCTCTCATCCAACTACTCCATCGTAGGATGTGAATATGTACTAAATGACCTGGCCACATATTTGCACAGTACCGGGGTTGTTGCCTGTGGCACGGGGCTATCAGGTACGTCAAAACACCGGATATTAGACAGAACAGTTGCGCTGCTTGAATTTCGAAAAAATGTTTTCACCCGTCCCGAACACAACTTAGCGCGACGGATTACCTGAAGTCAAATGCAACTCATTGTGCGCTCCAACCTAGAAGGCTGGTAAACGTGAAAGTCCAAGGACGTGGAATAGACCCAGAAATCCGGAAATGCTGGGTGATCATTCCGGTTGATCCTCATGACGATTCCCCGGAAGCTGCGGTTGAGCGAAATCGTCAATGGTCAGACTGGCACTACCACTTGGTTGAGCACAATAAACAACACTTCCAATGACCGCCTGTTGTAAATCATTTAATGCTCCAACTGGGATAGAATCCTGCAATGTGAAGCTTCAACCCTCTACGGCCTTGGAGGTTCATAAGCGCATATGTCCTCACAAGCTCCGCTGAGCTCCTGGTCCGGATGACCTCCACTCGGATTGTTCAAGGATGGAAGTTAAGTGCTCGGTAATAGCTTGCCTGATCTACTTGTCTGCATCTGGAGAAAGGAGACTGTTCCATACAATTGGAGAGGATCGGTGTTAGTGCCCATCTTAATGGAAGGGGACCATAGTGAGTGTGGCTTAACTCAAGTCGTAGTGAGATTCTTGTTGTCACATGTTCTTAGCCAGAAGGCGGAATGGCTCAGTGGCTAGACGCGAATTTACTGACCGGAAGGTCTGTGGTTCGAACCTGACCTCTGCACCCCAACTTACCCTGTCAAGACTTGGGAAGCCTAGCAGTATCCCATCCTTTGCGCCTGATTGGAGACGCTGCAGAATATGGCTGCTAATCGGTGTCAATGGCGTTCTTGTTGTCAGTTTCTACTCGGATTGTAGTAAGCTAGCACTAAGTCGCTCCTATACCCACCTTTGTTCTTTTATTCGCAATAAGGCTTTCAAGTAAATCATGGCTGTACGGCACTGAAGTATCAGTCCTGAACACCGGTGTCATTCTGCCGAGGATGATGATATCGTTGTCTTGATGACATTGTTTCGAGTCGTGTTTCATGTCTCTTGTTCTGTTCTATTTGTATGTATTTCCCGTATTCTGCGGAAGACCCGCACTAACACTCGGAAGTGTTAAGCCTACAATTGTACTAGAGATGATTATCTCTGACCACCAATGTTCAGACTTAGGAGAACGAGGACTGGTATTGGCTAGACATGTATGGGCGTAGGATGTGCCAAGATAAGGTTTAATCTTTTTCTTGTCACGTTTCCCTTTTGCGTGATAAAGCCCATAGGCGAAACTACAGAACGGGCGAATAATATTCATCGAATACGTTTCGTACTGGTAAGTTTGCTTAATGGATAGATACAGGATATAGTCCCTTTGGTCCCATGGAGATGTTAAAGTGCCACGTATTTCTCTTACAGGTTTTCTTTATCGCTATCCGTTGGAACAGATTTCAATCAGCGAGCTTCTCTCCGGTCTCCATCACCTCTCAGATATGATCAAAGCCTTGGAGTGGTTCTTTGTTATCTCCTTAGTACTTGCCATTTGGGCGAGCAAACTGGTCGGTGTGTTGAACTTCAGAAATTCCCTAATTAATAGCTTTTTTGATTTCCTCCCTGTGATCCTTATGGGGATTTTCGCACTGTTTTCCATATGTGTCATTATTTTCCGCACATTGACGTTTAACGATTGCCCTGAAGCTTCAGAAGAACTAGTTCGACAAATTCAGGAGGCGAGGGCCGATTTGAAGAAAAAAGGCTATTCTTTTTAACCGCGCGTAGTGCGTTGCGTACATTTGATTGTTGGCTGTGGCATTTCGTGACATTGGATGGTTTTCTCTTCGACTTCTATCATCTTCAATATCTTTTGAATAAACATTTCTGTTTGCTTCAACACTTTTACACTGGTGTACATGGTGTTTATCGCGCGTCACACCCTGATAGTATCCTGATAACTTAGGTGATCAGCGGTAGTTACCCGAGCAAGACTTCAAACCTTTCTAGTATTTGAGTTTGTGCCGAGAATTGTTGTTTCGGCTTCTTACTTGTGAGGTGATCTGCAGTGGATGAGTTTAGCGTATTCACCCATGGTATCTACGGAACAACGTCATGTAACCCTGATATCATCCTAGTCTGAGGTGATCACCTTTACATTTAGGATTCGTCCAGTATGGGATAGTGTTGTGCTACGCCGAATGGGTGGTTGACGGTGAGACCTGCTCAGATGCTTTCCGCAATAACAAGCTTCACAAGCTCTGAAACAGTGTTCTGCCTCCAGTAGTCCTCTAGGGTAAAATGCTGTATGAGGTGTGTGGGCGACCAAAGCCTGGTCAAGAGGCCCAACATGAACGACTGAACTACTGCAGATGTTGAAAGGGATGGGCTTGACATGTTAGGAAAATGATTTCGGGTCCCGTTATTGGACACTTTATCATAACAGAAAGATTTCACCAACAGACCACAACTCACACAAAATGTACGGCACTAGGCGGACAGCCACTACACTTCTCCATCAGGTACAGTTCACATGAATGAATGAATGCTGATATTTCTCATGTTTCTCTCTCCACTCTCTGAGCGGAATGTAAGTCACCTGTGCAACAAGTGTGAATTCTTAAACTACGCACGTCATACGAAGAGAGTTCACACCAAACTATCAACATTTTGAGTCATTCGCGTGGCATTTGTGGTACTGCGTCTAGTCCGTATATGTTGTGGAGTGAAGATAAGCAGTTGAGCACTGTTTTGGGTTCTTTCCTGTTATGCTTCAGCAGAACGCTACCATAATTGTTCCATTGTTGTGGCGGCTTCAACAACGCTACGCTATATCTAGATTGATGGGATTCGGCAACCATGTTTACACTGGAGACGATGTCTTAGTGGGATTTCTTGTCAATCTTTCGATCGTAGGCTGTCGCTAGCGCGGTTTCTATGAAATTATCAAGCTCCAGATGTTATCCTGAAATGTTCGAAATGACGTATGTCGGAGGTGGCCATATTTGTCGCCAGGATTGATCCAACGGACGGACCAGTTTTCTAAGTGGGAACCGTCCCCAGTCCGGCCTACAGCCAACATATTAGAGTTCGTCTAAAAGGCCTTCCAACAGGGAACATTTCGCGTCCTTGGAAATCCATGCCATGATGGTCGAGCTTTTCGCCCAAACTCCTACCAAGCCTATGGACAACTCCCTGACCTAGGCGATGCGCAATTTCTGTTGTCCGTCAATGTCGATCCGCTGATTGCCTAGGAACCCCAAGGTTCCCTAAAGTATATAGCTTTGTGCTTGCGCTTTACCTTCAGTGACGGGATTACTTGTGGTCATCTCACTCGTTGATTCTCTGTGTGATAAAGGAGAAGTGTTTTCCGTGGGTCGCCAACCATGGTGGCGAAAACTGTAAAACAAAGACTGTCTATCAGTATCCTTGTTGAATTGTGGACATACACCATTTCACTGATAACTGCAGTTCGTATCACCTGGGCTAGACTATAACTTCTCTCCATATGCCACGTTTCTTGGTGGTCTGTTTATGCACCACCTATACTAGTCGATTCCGACTAGTAAGTACTGATTCTTCATCCGCCTTAAAACTAAGTCAACTTGATAATTCATTCCCTTCATCTGACGATGCTCTTGTGTCAAAAGTAAGGCGCTTTCCAAAAATGAATCCACCGACTGCCAAAGATCTTTCAAGTGACGTTGAACAGTTTTCACGACATATTGCGGTTTGTTTCCGGGTGATTTTTAAGTATTGACTCAAGTGATTTGTGCTGCTTTCGAACAACAATCGATAATGTTTCTTTCAGAAGGAGTGACTTATCCCATCATCAGTTTGTGTTCCACAACAACATAGCGCCTGTGGTATGCTGATGATGCGCAGTAAGTGAAATTTTATGGCTCTTCTTCCATCGAGGTTTGTCTTTTTTGAGGATATCGTCCCGCACAAATCCTTTTTTCAGGCTCTTTTTGACGTTACCTATTTGTTTTCATTTGCCAGATGGTACCACCGGTCGTATTCCGACCCGGTAGGCGGGAAAATGTAATAGCTGGAGTTGCTGTTTAGCTGGGTTGATACGGTCCCACTCCGACGGCAGCGTATGGCAGGCGGTTTTATATGTCGAGTACAAGGCTTGATTCTGCTCTCTGGATTATTTATGCATGACAGTTCTACATCTATTGTTCAGGACGAAGTCAGTGGGTATTTCCTCTGCGTACCTAACCGGTTTCGTTAAAGTATGTCGATCTCTAGACATCCGTCTTCCGGATACTTTCAAGCAGTCGATCAACTGCACAGTAGTGGAGGGTGATCTGATTATATCATTCATTCGGTTGCCTACGGACGCATCCCTTCCGTACGTTCGTGAAATCACTGGCTCCTTATTAATTTACGATGTTCATGGCCTGGACAGCTTGGCACAACTACTACCCCGCTTGGTTTTGATCCGCGGACAGAATCTAATCGACCGTTATGCGATGGTGTTAAAAAGTACCAGCCTGAAAGTAAGTAGCGAATTTATTATCCATACGGGCACAAGAAGTAGCCTACGAATTCTCAGCAGACTTAAAATGTTTGACCCGACGGTTGAATGGGATGCTCTATTTTCATTAGCTCGACCTTTGTGTTGCTGCTATTCCTCTGTGCATAACATCTGTTGCATATAAACAAACATTTGACTCATTGGTAAGTGTAGTGTCCATCGAGGACCGAATATGGGATAGGTATCTCACGAGATGTTTGGGTGCTGTACGCTTCCTGTGATGGGACCTCCGTGATGCTCCTTGTACTTGGTAGGAGCCGTTGCAAGATATGACAGTTTACCTAAGCCAGCTGCCTTAATGACTCTGGTTTTAATCTGCATTATTTAATTGGGTCTGAGGGTGCAGACATCTCAAACTGATTGTAGTGAGCGTACACCAGACCCCTCCCAGTTCACTCCTAAAATTTTGAAGTTATTTGATTCAGAGCGGTGCAGAATTCTATACTTCAATGCACGCCATCGATGAGTACCGTCAGTTGACTACTATTACGCAGGCCAGGTAGAAAATCTTCAATGGGCGTGCCTATGTGGGGCAGTGGTTTCCGTACCGATGTTTCTTTCATCTAAATGTGTTTTTTTTGTGATAAAACACGAATGGTCCTTCGTTGCCTATATTCCCGAAGGGGCTCAGATAAGAAAATTTGCTCTTACTGTGTTTTCGATCAGTTAATGTGTTCTCTCTCTCGCTCGTTTGGGTTTCCTTGCTCTAATGATCCGGGCGTACTCATGAGGTCATGAGCTGTTCATACCGCTTCACAATTTGCATGTCGTCGAAAATGTGGCTCGGTGTTATATGTGACGTTGCAAGAGTAGGCTCACCATACAAAAGAGATGACGTTCTGAACCTAATCACTTCATACACTCTACCTCTGAATTTTCCATTCGCCTATTCTTCCTTGGATGCTAATCAAACCCACCCCTAAGAATGAGTTGGCGATGGTGTTCGTGCGGGTGTGTTTTACTGTCGAGGTTCCCGGGTCTCGAAAAACCATGTTCCTCTCGCTAGCCTAGATTCGCTGTCTTTCCTGTGCTAAACACCGGTGCGCTCGTTAAATTCTCGACATAATTTCCTGTAAATTGCGCGAAACCCAAACATCACATCAGGGATTGTGCACTTCCTGCATGGGGGTGTATTTGAAGTTCATTAGTAATCGTAGCTATGTTGATCTGAATAGGATTTTTTGGCACGCCCCTCATGTAGTACAAAGGTAATTTCAGTGAAGGGGTTGCATCCTCAGTGAACCGTACACGAACAAACTGTCCCTTTCGAATTTTCCCTGTATGAACGGAAGGAGACAGTTGAGGAGTGTACAGCTGAGTTTTCTTCAAACTGATCAGGGTGGTTGTATGGCGGTAATGTTAGTGAATGCGGCCACTCACTATACTAGTTGTTCCGGCTCGATATTTTTAATTAATGACCGAGACTCTTCATAGTCCCATCATTCAGACTACTAAAACTTGTGACAGATTCCTTGTGGAGTGATTGTTTTTGATAGAAACCGACTCGTTTTGCTACTTTATGGCGTGCATTTGAGACATTCGTACTAGTAGGTCCAGTTCATCTAACTTTTGATAGGCACCAACTACTTACGTGCTTCATCGTTTTCTCCACATCCTCGAAGGACGCTGCTCTCCCCTCTCTCCGTCTCATCCACCGAGGCGCTGTTCGGTTGGAAGGCAATCCTGATTTGTGCCATGTGCACACAGTAAACTGGGTGGCGTTGTCCGGCTACCGTTCGGATGCTGAAAGTATCTTAAAGGTCAATATGAATGGTGCCAGTTGCGCCGATCGGTGTCCTGCTCAGTGTTTATCGGTACCAATCACTACAGGGCCAGCAAATTTCCAGCAAAGAACTCCGTACACAAACGTTCTTTGTTGGTCTTCAAGCATTTGCCAGTCAAGTGAGTTGATCTGTGGACTCTACAGTACAAAAGACCCCTTTTTCACCTAGTTGTACCATATGCAGCCTTTGTTGTCCACGTCACTCACCGGACAGACCTTTTTCCTCACTCTAGTTTGCTCGGATCATTGTACTGAACATAACCTGGCCTGTCGGATACACGATACGGAAAGATGCTGTCATCCGGAATGTCTCGGAGGTTGCTACGATGATGGGCCACACATGTGTGTCTCCTGTTCCCATATGCTGTATGGTGGTTCCTGTGTCTCAGAGTGTCCTGAAGGAATGCTACGTGTAAGTACACTTTAACACCGATTACTCTCAGCGTGGGTTTACTCTCCCTTGCTAAAGATTTAGTCAAAGTGACCAAGCAGGATCTCTTCACGAAAGAGTAAACGAAGCCACCACCACCGTTGCTTATGATAGTTTTGGTTGTTGTTTTTTGTGCATCCGAGGAAACCTTTCTCAGCTGTTTGTAGACAAGAAAGTCCACTGACTTGTTGACCGAGCTCGACAATTGATTTGTAAGGTTACTAATGAGTTGTGGTTAATTTGCATAACAACAACTAACGAATCCACTCAGCTGTCAGTATTCCACAACGTCATCAGAGCCGACCCATTTTAACGTGACCTTCATAGATGATCGTTAACATGTGTGCACCATGCAGCACCATTTTGAACAGATACTCTTAAATCTGCGTAAGACTTTGGATCACCTCACGATGACATTTACTCATCTACCATAATTTCACTGAGGATCCCCACGTTCAAGTAAGCTGGTTTAGGGGTGATCCTGATGTTTTTGAGTACGTTGGGAGTCATGTGATACCTTAAATGGACGATGAATTACGAAGATACACCCTGATAAGAAAGTGAAAGTCACGGTGACTAGTCGGAGGTCGCGTGCCGCTTTTTAGCTGTATTACTTTTGTTTTTGTCACCCTGCGACGGATGATGGGCCTCAAGAAGGTGAAAACCGGTCGTGAACTGTCGAGATTTTGCAGCCTTGGGAGTAGTGTTTTACGTCTATAATTGCGATATCTCGAATACCGTACAAATTGCAACATAAGCCGATCAGGTGCAGCACACTCAGCTGAAGAAGGACATCATAAACTGAAGATTCAGCTGGGATTCTGGTAAGTCTTGACGGATGTTGCTGTGCATTTGCTAGATTTGTCAAGTTATCGGTCACAGCCAGGTTAGTCCAGTTAAAAGGTGTTCTGGTAATGTTATGGGCACTGGAGAATCAGTACTTGTGACGTCACCCTTTAGCGTGACGGTCGATTAGCATATCTGCATCAGTAAAGGGGGTATTTTCATCGGGATTTTCCATCTGTTTGCTGCTAATAAAGGAACACAAAGTGTGCCCCTCGATTCTGGAGGTTCATTCTTTCGAATGAATATGGGTGTGTTTAAAGGAGAGTGTCCTATTGGCAAAACCGTTTTCCCTTGTCACTTCCATGAGCATAGATTCATTTCTATTTGGAAAGGAACACAAAGTCAATCGGTTTGTTTCGAACCGATAGACCGCTATATTCGACTTTAAGAATAGCTCACCCCAGCTTATGTTTTAAGTTGGGTACTTCATCCTTCCCGTTTTCTCGCTGATCGTTATCGACAGGATGTGAGGAGCAGTTGATATGATCATGTCTGTTTTTCCCCAAGTACCTGAACCGCAGGTGCGTCACTCTTGAACAATGTTTATGGTCGATCCCGATGGCAGTTCAGTCCGATTCCATACTTAGCATGAGCAATTCAACTGAACCTGCAGAATATAATGGGGTTCCCGATTGGCACAGTTACGCTGTCTTCAATCAACGCTGTGTCGAAAATTGTCCCGTAGGCTACATCAGACACAATATCACTGGCCAGTGCGAACCATGTGATGAGCGCTGCTTCCGGAAAAGTAAGCTTTTCTGTTTGCGCTTCTGCTCGGTGTGCATAAGCTGAGAACGCCCATGTACGTCGTCTGCTGGTCTCAGCCGTCATTTGTTAACTCTGCTTCTTGAACATGATCTTTACCTGTTTGTAGCTGTGATTCTCAGTCTAACCAGCTGCTGGTTAATTCAGACAGTTGTTTGGTTGCTAACGAATAGGCATAATGTTTTGTATGACCATTCGTGGATCTTTGCAGGGGATCCGATAAGTACCAAACCGGATGTTCAAGATGAATATGTGATGAGACCCCGACAAGTTTAGTGTTTGTTGGGACTCATCAAATGACCGTGAAGATAAGTGACATGTCGAAGAATTTTCAGCAACCTTGTGAGTAGTTTCCTTTTCCTTGGTTGGAAGTTCCATCTTGTTACTTTTGGACCACGTGTCCACTGACCAGTTTATTTAGCGGTACAGCCACGGACGAGCTGTTACGTCCTATTTCGTATCAACGCACTGAAAATGTCACCTGGATTAGTGATGAAACGTTTGCAACCAGACTGGCTGGATCAACAGGCTCCTTATCCTGATAACAGCAGAAGGGAGTGTGTCTTTCGGCAGTGTATTTCAGCGGCGTGTTTATTTCACATCTTTCCAAGAACCGCATCCTTGCACATGTTGAGCACATCAAATAATACGGCAATCCTTTTTACGTTTCCTTGGATTGCACACACCTGGTTTTTGTATTGCAGGCTGTCCCGAATTCTTCATCCATACCTTGAATGATTTGGTCGCTCTCCAGGGCTGCTGGTCAGCCAAGGCAGTTTACATGAGCATCAGTGACGCCGATTCAGGTAATTCGATCACTACAGCTTGTGGGTTGATTATTGCCTTTTGTTTCGCTGCTTTTTTGTACAGTAATTGCATGAATTTCGAAATACAACCGCAGCGGTATCCGCTACTTACGCTGTTAGCGAATTCACAGACTTTTGGATGGCGTATACATATTGTGGTGGGACGTTTACAGATACGTGTTTGTTAGTTTGTTAGGTGTATCTCACCTTCAGTTAGATTACTATCTTTATTAAACTGTCTTTTCAAAACGTCCTCCATGGTATGACCATATTGCTACGGATAAAATCACAAGAAACATTATCATGCTGGTGTCTCAAGAACAGTCTGTGCGAATCACAATTATTCCCCTGATGAGACTGAATTTCGCTGATTTCTTTCAGGCCATTATGGAGCCGTACTGTTGTAAGCTTCCCAGCGAATACTGGAGACTCATTTTTAAGACACTGCCATGTTTTTTAGTTAAAACTTATTAGGAGTTCCGGGTTGGAATCAGCTCGAAGAGTGTTACAAATATCCAGCGCCATGTGATGTGTGATAAGGAGTTTTTAATAATTGTAAAGTCAAAACACAGCGTAGTGGAATAGGTTGCTGTAATCCGACGTTTCGGTTGCCATGGGCGGCCTTTCTCAAAGATTTATACAATCAACTGAATACGAGTCAAATGCCGCTACATTTGGGTCGGCTTATTATAATGGAATTGCTTGCTGACAGCGGCAAGCACCGGACTTCACCTAGGTGATCAGTGTTTAACGTGCAAAATGATGAGTCCTCAGTGTCATTCTACTTCTGAAGGCAAATCATCTTTTGATCTGCAGTAATTTATTTAGCCAATTTCAATTTTTGCCTAGAAAATCAACTAACATCATTCGCGTATGGTATCGCCGGATTTGGTTTGGTTAGGTTTATCCTCGAGGTACACCTTCGAGAGGGTGTTCCGAAGTGTTGCCTCAGTGTTCCCTCGTGTGTGTGTATTAGGGAAGGAGGAGTACTTTCTGCCCTTGGGCAATCAAATTTCATTTCCTCCTGGACGTATTCCAACATCTTTCGTAAGCAAAAGGTGTTGGGATTTTCTATTTCGTTTGGACCGGATGCTGCGGGTATTCAGTACTTACCTATTCATGCAAACGCACCGAGAGAAAATCTCAAATTTCTACAACGGTTACCAGCCCTCTTCACCTAGGTTATTAGGAAACTGTGGCTTTTCGACCCAGCCAAACGCGAGTGCGAACTAACCAATACGATGGATTTTTATGAAGGCCTGTTATTATGTAGCAGCTTCCTCCAGAAATATTGAATGTTTCCTTATCCGTCGACTGTTTTTGCCGTCGAGTGTTTTTAAGCCGTAAAACGTCATGTGACTAGGGCTGTTTGCGTTTTCGGCGTTTGTCGGCTAATTCATGACCTGTCCATTCAAGAAGTGTTTATGGGTGTGGTTAATGTATCAAGCATACTTGAGGCGAAATTTTTTCAGATTAATAGTTTATTAGTATATCTGGGCCAATAGTGGCGGAGGTAGTGTAGTTTTTGGAGGGGAACCACGCTGGAAGAAACCTTGTGCATTTGAAACTGCCTTCTCGATGGGGATCCTGATTTGACCAGAGAGTACCGCATTTTGTATTCCCTATTTGTCCAGGACAGCAGAGGGACTGTTCAGACGGGAGTGCTGTCAATGCGAATTCTACAAATTTTGCGCCTATTGACAACTGGGTAATGAAAAAATGTACAGCAGGTTTCAAGTGTTCGCGGCTCCACCTGACAGGAACTGACAGGCTGAGCAACCAGGACAGTTTGTGAGTCGTCGTCCGAGGTGTCTGGCAATCCAGTCTCAAGCGCTCAGATGTGATGAATCTGGTGCTTACGGCATGCACTGGTGGAGTGGTATTAGCGCGCTCGTCCCGTACGTTAGATATCCGGAGTTCAAACCCCAGTACGGGCAAGGATGTTCCCTGCTGATGATCTCTAATAAGAATGGCTTTTGAGCTCAGTGCTTCTTACCTTATTATGGACTCATCAAAACTATCGCGCCAGGACTGCCAGTGAACTATTCAAACGAGAATGATGTGACTTTGAGGTCTACGAATTCCACAGACATTTAGAACTAATACGCCACTGTTACGAAAGAAACACGACCCTCTGGTGTCGTGTTTTGCACAGAACACGGGTCCATTCATATCATCCCAACCCATCGCTGTGTCCAAAATGCCGTCCCATCCATCTGGGATTCCGGTGATACAGCTTAGCCCCTTTGAGACAAGTGATGTCCTATCCATGATCACCCATAGACTCAGCCCCTTTCAAGGATCTCCTGCCATTATCACCAGTTTAACTCACATGCAAGACAGGAACTCGGGACACTTGAATATTGCGGATGTCGAATGTTGGCATTCACCTTGATATGTCACGTGACTGTTTCATCCTTACTGCAGGTCGCTAGCCTATACTTCATCGCCGCTTTCTACTATGCATGAGCTGCAGGTGATTGATGTATAATAGGGTTTGTGGGGACGTGAGAGACCAGTATGGAGAACAGTCTGATCACCAGTATTTGCCACCCTATCGATCTATTTTAAAGGGATGCTACAACAAATGTTCTGCTTGTTTTGCCCGGGTAATTCCAGTAATCGTATTCCGTCGTTTAAATTACCTTTCTCTCTTCTACCGAATGGCTCTTATCAGAAGAATGACATATCCGTTCTAGATCAGACAGCAGAGGCATTGGCCCGTGGTTTTGCAACTCTTCGTGTAATTGAGCATAGCCTGAGAATCGTTCGATCCAACGCAATCACGTCCTTGGATTTTCTGGGCACCGTTGAACGGATTGGGTCAAGTGTGACCGAGGTCAATCACACGTAAGTCGTTTTCGCTCACATTGACGGCGTATTTTTACCCTTAGCTATGCGTCCATTGTACTGATGACGTTTACGGCTCACAGATCAGCCACTGTTCCTCATTACTATTTCACTGTCTCTGTAAATCTAGTTTTTTGTCGATATTTTGCGTCGCTTGAGATCTACCATGGCTATGTACGCTTACTTGTACTGTATCACCTACATGGATTTATACTGTGTCAGGTTTCGTGGGACCCTATGCGCTTTTTATGATCAACATGATGTTCATCGGAATGTTCGCATCCATTTATTTAACCAGTGCTATGTCAGAGAAAGGCTTTTCGCACAGTTTATTTGTCAAGATACTTTTCAAATTCAAGGCTGTAGTGAGTGCCGTTCCTTCCGAAGTCCAGACTACGGTGTGCATAAGTAATTATCCTGAAAAGTACAGAACAGTTTTGATTTGGTTCCTTATGGCTAGTTTCAACTTGGCAACCTGAACAAAATTTACGGTGGTTTCGACTGAATATCCACTGAGGTTTAAACATAGATCATGATTATTACCTCAAAACAGTGTTGTTAACGTCAGTATTGCCTGGTTGCTTCGTTAAACTTCGCTTCTCAAGGCACCCACGTCGGAATATCCACTTAACCCAAATTTATCTTAGTAAAAGCAATGCTGTAGGTCAAACTCATCGTCCCATATTGTCAAGATTAGGCAATATCTTATCTGATCCTTCAGAAACCATACTGAAAATGGTCTTTACTTGAGAAACAGTTCCGTTCTTGACTTTAAGCATTTTCAAGGACATATTTTCACAAACTAGCAACATAATCTTTAATACTTTGTCCATGCAACTGCAGGATAGGTACGCACCTACAGCCTGCATTGACTCTAAAAATTACTTATTTCATATTCAGCGTTTGCAGCATAGCGGAAGTTGACTGACTGCAGTATGCCGGCTTAAGGTAGTATTTGTTAGCGAACCCAAATCACTTGAGCAGCAAGCAAGGCTTGTTAAATTAAGGACTTATGCCGCGCATGATTAACCCTTGCTGGTAAGAGGTTTGTGGGGGATCGGCCGAGAAGCGTCAAGACGAAATGGAAGCGTTTAAGTGCTGGGCTTTATTGCTTTCCTGACTGCGGCCGACGTGATTTTGTTTGCATGTGGCTGGGTAACACGTGACATCTGTTGCGACCATACCAGTAAGACTACCCAGCTGAATTTTGTGTTATTGTGTTCGGGTCTGATTCACGAATTACTCGAGAAGGATATTTGGTCAGTCCCTTGCATACTGTTTATAATCCGATATGATGCTCAGGTGTGTTTGCTTCATTCATTGTCGAAGGTTTAGACAAGTCGCTGATAGTTTTTCCCAGAACTTTTTTCACTTTTAAGTACCCAACGCTTCCTACTCCACTTGGTTGTTCCTCATTGTTGTACGTTACTTGGGAGCTGGTTAATTGCTGTCACCACTAGTGTACAGAACCTCCAATAAGACTAGTAAGTGATGGACGGATGTCTTACAGTAAACAAATGTGGGATGATTCTTAGCATGTGAAATCCTGAAATCTCTAATCATGTCGTTACAGGCTTGAGTACATTTAGAGCCAGAAAGTCGTTCATTCTGGGCTTCTCGGTATACTGAGTGCAATGTCCCATCCAGAACGGGTAGAGTCTAATCGGTATCCTTGTGAGTTTGTAATTTTTATGAACAAAAGGGGCTGTGTTTCTTCGATTTCACAGTTTCCGTGTGCCTTTTCGCCATCATGCATCCAATCTCGTCTGTTGTCAGCTAGTTCATAATTCTTTCCAGATAACTATGAAATTTTGTCGCACTAGTTTGACGTTCGAAAAACGTGATGCCAATCACTGCGTGGCTTTATTTGTGGACTGCCCATGTGAAATTTTTCTGTGTCCCAGCACTATTGTTCCTTGAATGAAAACACTTCCATCGACAATTCTTCATTTCATCCATTTCGTTCTCCTCTTTGTAGGATAACGTTAGAAGTCTCTGAGAATGAGAACCTTAGAACCCTATGGTCCCCGAATGGGGGTTTCCCTCACGTGATCAATAGTTCGAACTATGGCGCTGGTTTAGAGGTGTGGTCCCCGAGCTCAGTCCGTTTCACCCAAAATAGTCGACTATGCCCGGCATCAGTCTTCCGTTTGTTTGACACTGGTGCCTTGGTACTCATGCCTCACGGTCGTTCTCTCAGTGAGGCTGAACAGAACCTGATCCGTGTCACTAACGGTGAACTTGTTTATTGTGAGTCATTCCTATCATTGTCTTGCATGTCTCTTCACCTGCACCATGTATGACGCATCGACGGGTTAGCGACCGGATGTATTGTATCTTGGGTGTTGCACACAGCAGACTGAAGTTCCTCTGAACTGCTTTCTATATAGCCGGTCCCAACACCTTGTTCCTCATCTCCCTGTTCATCGTCGTTAGCATGACATCAGTTTGCTGAACATTGGCTGGCACTGCAAAACACCATAGAATCTTTGGAGTATCTGCACAACACTACCGTCAGTTTCTGTCAGTTTCTTTCCAGATTGTCTGATTGAGCGGTTGGAGGTGTAGGCACCTCAGTATGCTTGACATAGGCCAGCACTAGGTCCCCTCCCTCACCCATTTTTTTCTTCTCTTCACTGTAGGGCTTTGTATACAATTATATATATATATATATATATAACTAGACGACCTTATGGTTGTACGGCAGTGAAGCATCAGTGCCAACACTGATGTTGCTGTCAGGGCTTTTAATACAATTATATATATATATATATAACTAGACGAACCTTATGATTGTACAACAGTGAAGCATCAGTGCGAACACTGATGTTGCTGTCTTAGATGATGATGATGACAACACTACCGGTTCCTTGTTTGACGTACGCACACCCAAATGTCCAGTTAGCTTATTAGCTGTTGTTGTTCTTTTCAGGTAACATTGCGACGTTCAGCCTGGAGCTAAATGATCTGACTTCTTCAAATGTTCGCATTCAATGGCCGCAAGTTAATTTTCAATCTTCGGACACCGGCGCTCCAAACATGCCCTTACATACAGACACAGTTACACTCACGCTGCTCCATCAGTGTCGTGTGTGAGTTTTACTGTACAAGGACATGAACCGATTATATACTGAGCCAGTTTGCCTGGGCTTTGTGCTATCTGTAACCCGAATTGGTGCTTTTTCAACCGTTCCACTTTGTTTTTTCTCTGAGCCAAGGTCCCATTTTTTGACGAAACGCTGCTTCAAACCTACCCATTGTTCTTATTGTTCTTTTTCTCACGAGAGATATACTAAACGCATCAGCTACACCAGTACTGAGTGCACTAGTATTTCTTTAGGAGATATTAAATGCGGGCCATAATTCTCGGTGTGTCTGTTGGATGGTATATGCCATAAAAATCAATTTCTGTCGTACACCACATATTTGGAACAAGTAGCGAACTAGTTGGCCCACTGCCGCCCAAGTATAACGCTATTAGTGATGCATTCTAAGTTGTTTTCAAGCGATCCAGGTTTCAAGAGTCATCTGTGGGAGGTACTCATCAGCAGGTCTAAATAATCAATCAGATGAAATCCTGATTCATTTCGAAGATGGCATGCACTTCACAGTCGTCCAATTTTCGTTAGGGGTGACTTAACCGGGAATCCAAAGGACGCCCAACCTATCGACAATGTTGGCCTTAAACTTCCTCACCTGTTTACTTCATTTAGAGAAATTGTAATCGCGACGTGGGTGAAGATTTGTAGAATATCACATCATCTGGAGCCAGCAATAGTGAGATGATAACTTGTGGCTGCCCTGAATGGCAGATAAAGGAATCTACGACGTACTGCTCATAAGGTTTCTGAAAATTCGTCGACATCCCGCGACCGGTTTTGCCCTTCGTGGGGCACATCAGGTAGGCGCAGTCCCCGAGTATTCGGTCAACCTACTTGAAACCAAATTGCACGAAATTAGCGAATATACACTCATTTACAAACTAATTTGTTTGTTCGAGAGACTCACCTGGAACCCAGCTGAATCTCTCGGTTGTGATGTTTCCATGCATTGCGATATCTCGAATATCGTAGCTACTGAAACATGAGGTGGCCAGGTGCAGCACATTCAGTTACCTGGATACACCGCAAACGAGAGATTCAGGTGGGTTCCAGATGAGTCTCTCGAAAAACCAAATTAGTTTGCAAATAAGTGTATATTCGCGAATCTATGACGTATTATTCCAGAGTGATAAACGTTTGTACATTCTGTCCACTTTGTGGATCGAGAATATCTGGAGAATGATGGTGATAATAGTTTCGTATTGTTTTTCAGCTGAACGCCCTTTACGTTACCATTATGTTCTATCTGAAACAAAATTGGAGAGAGCAAGCGATACACACTCAGTTGCACACTAATTTGGTTTTGATGGGAGACTCGGCTGAATCTTATTTGGCGAATTCCGTCTAATTTGGGTTCACGTAGAGCATGAGGTTAAAGTAAACTTTTGAATTGTGCCTACCCGATTAACCAAACCGCCCATGGCCTGTCGAAGTTTTCCGTAACCTTGTGAATAGTCTTCTACGTCAACACCAGGCTATACATCCTTTTTCTAAGGAAAAACAATCGGTTCTTATTAAGAATGATAAATAAAATAAATGAATAAGTACTGAAATAAAATATTCACTTTGTTTTATAGCTGGAAATCGGTTTTTTCATCCAGCCAAAATGCCTGTGTTGCAGGTCACTTTCACAGGTAACATTCAGTGTTTCGAAATAGATGGTGCTAAAATGAATCTGATATCCGAACTATACACTCATCCGCACGCCAACTTGGTTTTAACGCGAGACTTACCTGGAACCCAGATAAATCTCTCGTCCATGATGTTCGTTTTCAGCTGAGTTCCAAGTGACTCTCCGGTGAAAGCTAAAAGCAGATGAGTGTATAAGTCGAATTTTTTGCAATCTGAATTCATATGAAACAAAAACTTGGGAACTGCGCCTGAATGGCTCAACAAAAAGAGGAAATCAGTGTCGAAGAGTTTTCAGCAACTGTATTAGTGTTATGTTACGTCTATACACGAGTTTGATGTACTTAGTAAGAGTAGAATAGCGTATATAGAACTTCAGAGTCAGTACACACTTTGTGCTACTCGGCTGATCGACGTAGTGCTGAAATTTCATATTCATTGTGTTGATTCCCCAAGCTACTTGACTTGTTTAACAGCTTGGTCTGCACCACCGTGAAATGCATCGACAAGTTCTAATGTGATGGTAGGGCTGGAAGATATAACTGGGTCAACTTCGTTGGTGTTGATATTGGGTTAAATGACTTGTAGGCACCTCGAATGTTTGTAGTTGGTTGCCAACCGATGGGCCTCCCATTTTCCGTCATTAGCTTACAGAATTCCATGAATACAGTTCGACGTAGTTTCGTGACACTGAAGTATCGGTCTTCTGTGTCGGTATTCCTTCCATTGTTGCTGAGCAGCTCGCTCCTTAGAGCTTTTAACTCAGTCATGTTTTGGAGTGATATGTCGATTTCGAACTGGAGTTTGGTATTTGTCCCTCTTATACGATTACTTTGACAGCATATCTCAAGAGGTGATTGAGGGAGGTATTTCGGGAATAACGGAGCTTTCGTGCCATCACTACGGAGAAATACCATCAAGGATGTTGCAGTTAGTGTGAAACATCAGCAATTCACTGTAATAATCGATCAGCGGTAGCACCCTTTCGGTGCCCAACTGCCATGCCACCCGAAGGAAGCACGAGTGCCAGGTTGCCCAAGCCTAGACAGGGGAAGTCAAGATGCAGAGATCGGATTCGAAGCACGGACCTTCTGGTCAGTAAATCTGCGCTCTAACCACTGAGCCATCTCACAATTTACTACCGTTTGCCTGCTGTAAACTACTTGCCACTAACACAAAAGTGGATGAAACAAACCAAGTCTAAACCTTTAAGGATGGTTACACCCTCATGGGGTGTAGGTAGTTAGGCATAACAATTCACTTCCATTTTAACGCTGCTTTCTTATTTGAGGAGTTTCTGCTTTTATTTGGCCGTGATACAGCTGTTTCGCCAAGGTACAGGATAAGGAGAGATAATGCTTTCAAGTACGCTGCCATAAACTGGACACAACTCACCAATTTATCGGGCCACACACTCTGCCGTTTGGTTTTTACAGGTACCCTACATCCAGTTGAGATTTCGTTAGAGTATGTGTAAACGTAATTTTGGGTCACTTCATACCATCACAACTTTCTCAATCTCCCATCCTAGTCTGGAGGATCATCTGAACCTAGAGGGACACGATATTGACGAATCACCTGGGTAAGTGGTTGTTCTCGCTTCGGAAGTGTGGTTTGACTCACCTTTTCTTATCCTGTTTCTTCATCTTGAGTAGTATCTATTGTGTTGGCATTGTCTGGGTTGTACGTATTTCCGCACAAAATTCCAGGGCAGTGAATGGCCACCCGTGGGCTGTTCGCTACAATCATCCTAGTCGATGTTTTATTCGTCGGCAAAAGTCTGAGTTGTTTCTAGTGTAGGGAGTTTTAGGAAGTTTCAATTGAGATTATCCCGTAAGTGAAACCAGTCCATTGTGAAAAGCTGGGAATCACTGTACGACTTATCCTTATTGGAGATCGTCAGAAGTGCGCACCTCACGAAACTCCAAGTGGAGCTTCCAAATAAGAATGAAACAGCTGTACAATGCTTCTCCGATTTCTAGCAAGACAAAATTTCAATGTGAATGCCAGTTTAGTTTACCTGACTGTCAAGAACGAACTGTGTCCAACAGGTCTATGTGAGATAATGAAGTTGTGAATCCATCTTAGAAGCATACTGAGCCCGCATTCTCATCAATTTTTCCATTTTTTTTATACCGCGCGTGTAATGTTTGCGTTTTTTGTCGTCTTCATCAGGTTTTCGCTCACATTGTTCCCTCCAGGTGTCGAATATTTCAAGTGTCGTGTGCGATATACACGGATAGCAAGTGCTATTACCAACTGAGTGGGCTTGAGGCAGCGACTTCCTACTCAGTACGCATAGAGATTCGATACCCATTGCTAAGAAACCGGCTTTACAGTGAACGTGTGCAATTTACCACGGCTACAGCGAGTAAGTATACGCGGAAAAGCGCTAACGCTTGCCGCGTTATTAATTCAGTTTCTCTTTTCGATAGAGTATGTCTGGTGTACAATGTTGGAGATAATTGTTGCTCCTCATTTCGTCTAGGTATGAAGTCAAATGTGTGGTATCTTAGGAAATTTACTCTTTGCTTGCTCGTGGTATTAAACTAGAAAAAGGGCAGCAATCCAGTCACAATTGAGCTTGCGTGAGCCATAGCTTTCAACGCTTTGCTGTCTTCATCTGAATATCCTCCTATATTCGAAGAATAAAAATGTCTGTGGTGCTGGGATTAGTATACGTTGATACGCTGATAAACTGAACTGAATGGCGAACTGTGTTCAGTTGAAATCTCAGCGAGTGCGGTATGCCCACCTAAGTGACGAGTCATGAAGTACACTTGCACGTGTGCCTTGTCCGTTTTGTTGCAGAGCATTATCCTACAGTTTTTTTGCCTACTTTGCCTCTCTCTCTATATATATACTATAATGTAGAGCCTGAAAAATGCCCCATACTTGACACTTGGTGACAGTTCTACACAAAGGTGACCAAATTTCCTATGGAATCCTATTCGTTATAGCGGGCAACTCACCTGTGTCCAATCAGTCTGCCACAGAGACTAGTTCCATCACACCTTATCGGGTCACGTGGTTGATAATCTACTGCAATGGTTCATGAGCGGATAGGACTTGCATAGGCGGCAATGTATGTTATCAGTCTTTTTAAGTTAGCGGGCTGCCGCTTCTTGAACCTTGGAGGCGCAGGAACCGCCGTCACAAGAGGGCACATTCTTGGAGGGAACGATCATTTTTCCGATGAGTTTGGCCTGTGAAGCTGAGAAATAGTGATTCGTTGCGGGACTCGCGCTTTCATTCACTCCATCTGAACCTGGTAACCACAACACGCCGGAAATTGGTTTAACGGTCTTCTTTTGAGCAACAACCGTGTGATATGGTACCACTGATCACAATGACCGCAGATGCTTGACTTCTTGTTCACCATTTGTTCTATTGGTATCAAGGTTCCAACAGTTTGTTTTTATTTAGCAAGTAGTATGGATTTTCCTGACATTTCGTCTTTGGATAATATCGTTTATGGACCGCCTCGCAATGAGCTCTACTATCCGTTTCCAACAGAGTCATGTTCTTTCGCCAATTGAATCGTGCTACTGGCATTTTGTAAGCCCAACGCACATCGCTTCACACAATATCAAATGAGGTTTTTGCATATGGGCCGATGTCCGAAGTACTTCCTGCCCAACATGACTACAGATTGCTATTTTGTCATCAAAAGCTAATAAGCATTTGATCATAAGCTTATTTTCATTTAACTATGGGGTAATAACGCTTGCTCCCCACCTCGGATGACCGTACTGTTGTGCAACAGCCACTACATTAATGCAGCCAGAGCATAAACTGTTTGACCCGTCTGATCTCCAACTTGATAAGCTGTGGAAGACTAAAGGGGATACCTGAACCTACCTTTTTCTCGTCTCTCATGCTTCTTAACTTGCAAACTGCCTACCCTATATTTCAAGGTTCACTGGAACCACGTGACTCTTAGAATCAAAAACATACATGATTTTTATTACTCATTGAAAATAAGCTTCACTTCTTTACTTCTGTTTCAGGCTTGAAACAGCATCTTAACATACGTACATAATGAAAAATACTGCGAGTCGGAGAGACATGCAACTTATACTCTGTAAAAAGACTACGTCATGATTGGGACCATTCTTCTCTCACTACCTCTGATCCAGTGTTGCGGAGATATCTGTATTTTTTGTTTTGTACTGGCGGTGACTATGTTTCCGAATTATATAATCACACCGGGTGAACTTAGGGGTTGTATACCCTAATTCGGCTAGAAATAGGTGCTGAAAGTATGCGAACAAGGTTGAATCATGATGTGGCTGATGAACGCTGTGCTTCATGCAAAATATCTACGCATCAGCCTTTGCTCACCATCATCATCATCACCATCAAGGACAGCAACATCAGTGTTGACACTGATGCTTCACTGCCGTACCTGAGCTGCACATGACTGCCTTTTATCATAAGCGACTTTGTAGTGTTCCTTAGTTTTCCAGCCTTATTGGTGAGTGCCTATAAATTGATTTGAATTTACGTTAAGCTGTTCACTGTGTCAGTGTTCAGGATCATGGCGACGTTTTGTCAGAAAAATGAGATGTTTCGAAAGAGGGGCTATTCTCTAATTCACATGGTGTTTGATGGTTTCTCTGTTCTTCGGATACTATGCGAATTACAAGAACCCCAGAGACACATATTCGTCTCCACCAGAACTGCGCGAAACGATGACTAAATAGCCCTGAAAGTCCCCAGTTCATGGTGTGAATTACCTAACAATAGAGACCACCAAACTGTTTATTTGTGATCATTTTTTCCGATTACACGTTGTGCACTTGGACAGTGTTTTAGTCCTTGTGCACCAACCCGTTTTTGACAGCCTTTGCACATTAACTCCATGTCTTTTCCCTTTTCCCGTCTATTTTATCTGTCACAGACCCCTCTGCTCCTCGCTACGCTTGGTTGGGCTTGAATGGAGACGATTCATTGCGTCTCACTTGGATGAACCCATTGCATCCGAATGGTGTTGTTAGCCACTACCTGATCTGGGTCAGGTTACTGTCACCTCAGAAGGTTAATTTCACGTCGCACGACTTCTGCATCAAAAGTTTGTCCAGAACATAGTTTTGGCTTAATTGCTGATCATCCATCTTATGTACGAATCTCCAACCTCTGCTAACCTATGAAGCCACAATAGCTTGATTCCATCACTTGGCTGTAGAAGTTTGCACAAATGAGACCGAACGACCACAGAAGGCAGAAAGCTTACCTGGGTAGATCGGAAAGAAAACTGAGATAACGGCAATACGAGAAGCATTGTCTGCAAGTTGGTGGAATGGACAGATTCGTGCGAGATGGCTGCTGTTCTACCCTGGAGGAAATTTCGCCCAGACTATTCAGGATCCAGTCAGGTTCTGAAATCGAAAAAAACTATGTGGTAATGCGCATTCGGCAAGGAAGACGAGAAAGACATCCCACAACCGTGAACTAATGCAGACTCGGAAAATTCTACCATCATTGATCAAGTTGAGCAACACTTGGGAAAATGGTAAAAATCCGCTTCAGTGGACACCATCTCAGTTGTAGCAAAACACACGTTTCTTTCTTATTAAGTGACAGTTCATTGGCTTCTAAGTATGGCAAAGATATAAGACGTATGAAATACGCGTGGTGTATGCCTAGATAGCGATGGATTGGGGCTAAGACAATAAGTATATGGTCATCCAAAAAAGCAAGGTGTTGGTCGTTGGTTTGTTCGCTGAGCTGGGAAATTTGATTGCAAACGTTTCATCGCCAATCGAGGTGACATCATCAGTACGTTATTGTGGAGCGTAGGAGTGCGTAGCGGTGGGTTGGTGGTTGTGCACAACCACCACAATAACGCACTGATGATGTCACCTCGATTGGTGATGAAACGTTTGCAATCAAATCGCCCAGCTCAGCGAACAAACCAACGACCAACACCTTGCTTTTTTGGATGACCATATACTTATTGTCTTAGCCCCAATCCATCGCTATCTAGGCATACACCACGCGTATTTCATACGTCTTATATCTTTGCCATACTTAGAAGCCAATGAACTGTCACTTAATAAGAAAGAAACGTGTGTTTTGCTACAACTGAGATGGTGTCCACTGAAGCGGATTTTTACCATTTTCCCAAGTGTTGCTCAACTTGATCAATGATGGTAGAATTTTCCGAGTCTGCATTAGTTCACGGTTGTGGGATGTCTTTCTCGTCTTCCTTGCCGAATGCGCATTACCACATAGTTTTTTTCGATTTCAGAACCTGACTGGATCCTGAATAGTCTGGGCGAAATTTCCTCCAGGGTAGAACAGCAGCCATCTCGCACGAATCTGTCCATTCCACCAACTTGCAGACAATGCTTCTCGTATTGCCGTTATCTCAGTTTTCTTTCCGATCTACCCAGGTAAGCTTTCTGCCTTCTGTGGTCGTTCGGTCTCATTTGTGCAAACTTCTACAGCCAAGTGATGGAATCAAGCTATTGTGGCTTCATAGGTTAGCAGAGGTTGGAGATTCGCAGTTGTCAAGAGACTTTCCAGTTCTAGTAGGACGGGTCTATGTGAAGCACAGACATAGGACTTATGATGGAGAATGTTACGTACTAACATGACAGCGGAATCACGTGGCTCCGAGGAATTTAGCAGTGATCATTGGAACTCTTTGTTTCCAGCTCCAATAAGGTCCTATAGGCCTACAAATGTTTCGGGGGAACAAATCACACGCAATGGCTTAGGGTACGGCCAGGGCCCATGCGAAGCGACTTCTATGACGGTGGGCGGTTGCATGGAAAATTTCGCTTCTCGTCTTTCGTTTTGTTCCGATTTGGACTTTTCTTGGTTTTCATATCACATCAATTCCCGCGAGCTGTTCTACCCTCTCGTTCAGGAGGCGGTTTTTGTATGAATCCAGCTACAATAACTGTCGGGGAGCTTTCTTCGACTTGTCTGTTTGCTCTCCACCTCCTACGCCTTCCGCAAAAAAGTATCAGTTGTCTAGCAACTCCATGTGGAACCTTTAGTTGACATAAAGTTCAATATATCGGCCAAAAGCTTAACGGGGAGACGCGATTTGCCCTCTTGTGATTGATTGGGAGTGCGATCTTTTTGTGGGTTGTCTTTGTGTCAAAGTAGTAGAGGTTTCGTTAATTTTTGTGCGGTAGCATAGCTCCACTGTTCCTCACTGTTGTTGCTCTGTGTTGGTAATTTTTTACCGACCTTTATTATGTTCATACTTGGCCTCGGATATCTGTCCATACAAGTACTATTTGTTTCTCGACCAGTGGCATTTTCAGCTCTGAATTTCCGGTTTTCTGCGAGACCCACGCGTACTTTCTTCAAATAGTCCTTTTTTTATTACGACTACATGTAATTCATTCTCCTACTGAATGATAGTAAATGTTCCACGTCAAATTCTATCGGTATCGGTGCATCAACACTTTTACCTGAAGGTAGATCATTAAAAACGATAAAAGATCTATGGCTAACAGATCAGTTTATATTTCTTCAACTGTGCAGATGGTCGAAATATAGATATCAAAGAATCTCCAGATATTGAACTCCGTGGTTATATCTCCGAGACCCGATACACACGTGAAACCATCTGATACAGTGATATCATATATCACAGATTATGGTTTTCTAGTTCATTTCACTTTTTAATTCAAGTTCTGAAGACGTGTCCTCGTCGGATGTTCCTTGGCCCTTCTCTGTTAGCCGCTGGACTCTGGATGACAAGGAGGAGCTACTCCCTGTTTACGTTGGTATGTTGATAACAATTCATGCACAGCCCACTACCGATTTCGTGGATTGTTGGACTCGCCAGTTTAGCTTCCTCCCCGATTATCCATCAATTTCATTTCGTACTTGCAGACTAAAACGGTGTTGATTAGAGACTCGACTGCATTACTTGTGTACCTGTTCTTCATTAATCTTAGGAGTTGGAGAATACTTTTAAACGGGAGATTCATGCGACTATCCGATTAAATTCGTCATAGAAATCAAGCGAACATGTATTTCCACATACCTCGTGTTTTCCTACCTCTCAGAGGGAGTTCGAGAAAACTCTGACGTTTAGCCCATTTGTAGATCTGACCATACCAGGGGATAACTGCATGTCGCTCCGTTGTTCTGAACTTCTGTTCATGTGGGAAGTGCTATGTCTTTTTTGGATGGTGGACCGAAAGGCCTTAGTTATGAAGTGGGGCACACTGGTGAACAAGTTAGCTCTCTTAGTAGGGCGTCACCAATTGATTTAAGTAGTTCTGTAGACATTTCATCTTTACCAAGGGGCATACCACTTTTGAAGGCAACGGTAGTATCGCGCACTTCTTCGACTTGGTATTGTAGTTAGTTTTAGTCCATTGTTGAGAGTTTGCTGGTCGATGTAAAGCAGTTATTTGGTGACTGCAAAGTCTGAAGATTACGCAACAATGGCTGGATTGTAAACGCGTCGAAACGTCATCTTCATTTATCGTTTTGGTTATCGCTTATTTTCTGGCGGCCACCGAGGTTGTGCTCTGTTCATGCCTTCAAGTGTTCGATTAACACCCTTTACATTCGTCCCTCATTCTCGTTCGTACTGTTGATGATGATGATGACCGGTCTCGTTCGAGGAGATCGTGTGAACTGGTTACTTTAATAATTTCGACAGTGCAGCTTGTTGATGAACACAAATAAACGAAATATACTGTCTTTATGGTGATTGCCTCTGCGAGATCATGCTTATTTGACTGCCTCTACCGTACGGCGTTCATTCTGGACTGGCGGCCTCAGCGCTCTATCTCAGAACTTTTCCAGTGCCAGCTAATCCAGCTGTTTGGTTAACGGGGCTGTGAAGTCTATTTATTGACGAATATTTCAGTTTATAATATCGTTGGAGTGATACAAGCGAGTTTTGACAAGTTGGGAATAATGTGTGTTGAACTTTCCACGGACCGAACCGAAACCGTCTGCTGTTTGATCATCCTAGGCATGCGAACAATACAAGCTGCCAGGGCAAGGTGTCATGGGGTTTCGGCCATAAGGAGAAGTCTAGGCTGATAAAAGAACTTAAAAGAAAAGGTATCAAACTGACATGAAACAAACTGTTCGTGGGAATTTGTTTGTTCGTTTGTTAAGTTTACATAAGTTGAACTGCACTGTCCTACTTATGATACGCTTCTGAGGAGAATTCCGATAGCTCAGGTAGCGCAGGTGGTCGTTGGGTTGTTCGCTTAGCTTGGTAATTTGATTGCAGTTGTTTACTTTTCCGGCATTGAATTTATGACCTTGATCTTCATACGGGAGACTAAAGATACTACTTCATGGCCGCACCATTTTCCTTTATTCGTTTACATAGTTTCCTCGCAACACAGAATTCGTTACAGTTTCTGCGGTTGAAGTGGTATATCACGTTGTCCTCGGTTTTATAAATGCTGTCCTTCGGTCCTGTGATCAGTAGCACTTGCCTGTGGGCTACTAGGATTCTTTTTTTGCCCAAGAATCTGGCTGTCAGTTCCGATATATTCTCGAATTAAGGTAGGACTGTCGATATGGCCGGTCGTTCTCATTGTTGCCACTGTCGAAGAGTAGGCAGGGAAAACGTGAAAGTTTGGTATACGGAGACAGTAGACACGGTAGGGAATTTCCGGAAGCGTGGCGTTGAACTAACTTCATTTTATGCATCAACACAACCGCAATCCTTAACGACTATCGAATTAACAAACCAAGAAACAGGAAACGCCTTGGAGTCACATCATCAGAGGTTATAGGACACTCGTGCACCGATGAGTAGGTGAGAGCAGGGAAGACCAACCTCAAACATCACGGAGTCACCCACCAGTCAGAATACAGAATAGCAGACCAACTGATGTAACCACTCGATCGAACAACCCATCGTGACTGAAGGTCATCCCCGTCTTGATACAATTAACACAGGCACAGTGCTCAGCGCACAATGATGCACCGCTACACTCCAGTTCGCTCCACAACGACGCACTGACTGTCACCTCGATTTCTCCTGTCTAGGCCTGGGCAATCTGGCAGTATCCCAGCCCTCTTGCTTTCTTCTGGTAACATGGCATCTAGGTACCGAAAGGGTGTTACAACTGAACGGTTAGTGATGAGACGTTTGCCATCAAAATTGCCCAGCTCAGAGCACAAACCAACGATGATAGTTGTGGTGTATTAGCCCGTACTCACTAACTCCCTTTCCCATTTTGTAGTGAATTCGAATGGTGATTTGGATCATAGTGAATTGGGTGACGTTGTTGGTCTTTTTGTCATCTCCACAAACGATGGAGCCAGAGATACCGAGCACACTCAATATATGCGGTCTTTACGGCCTTTCAGAAGAGTCGTCGTGGAGTTATCTGCTTGTCAGGTGAGTTTTATAGGGCGCAACTGGTCGCATTCACTATTGTTTTTAATATTTAACCATTCATCTCATTATATCCTATGTGAAACTTACCGGCGCTTGTCTTGGTGGGAGCTAAATTGAGCTCGAGATGGCTTAGTGGTTGAGTTGCTAATCTGCCGACGGTAAATTCCGTGGTGTGAACCTACCTCTCGCTTCTCCATTGTTCCTGTTTAAACCGGGCTAATCAATGGCTTCCTCGACTTAAACGTTAAGATAAGTGTATACGACAATCCAGTGCACAGCCTGGCCAGTAATTCAGTAGCGCATGCCAATTCATTGTCGCAAATTCGAGGAAGACGTTTAATTTCTGCCCTAGGTCCTGTTCTACTCCTCTTACATGGTTTAGTTCGCTTCCAATCTTTGTAGAAAATCTGCTCGGCATTGGATGGGTGTGTACCGAATGTGTCGTGCCGCACATACATGAGATTCAACCCTTAAAGTGACCGTACTTATGTCATAACACAAACCTTTTAAGCCAAAAACTCGCCGCGTTTGTTTGGTGCAAAAATACAGGAGCCCTCATAGTAGATGAGTGAACTAAGAATTGTATTTTACATACGCATTAATTCGTTATCAGTCCAGTGTGGCCATCCAGGTCAGGATTGTTTGTTACATATTTGCTTCAGTGCGCAGTGAGATGACATTCGATAGAGCACTTTCCTTGTCTCTTTTGGCAACTTTCTGACTTCTCCGCATTATGTAGTTTCTCCTTACTTTCTGCATTGGGACAAATTTTACGCATCCTTATCTAGAATTGTGGTGAGTTCTTATTTCGTGGCTAACCAAATTTCCTGACCGTCAAGATTTCTGGGTGGCTTCGACTTTGCTCCAATTTTCACTAATTCTTCGTTTGATTTGAGGAATCCTGTGTCTAACTCATAACTGTGGTCTCATGGAATGATGGAGCTAGACTACTGTTTGCGACAGGTTTACTTGGTGAGTAGGATCAACTAGCTAATATGTCAACAAAAAGTCTATGTTATCAAGAGTAATGAAAAACGACATACCGATAACACTGTGATAAAAGGACGAAAAACAGCGTAAGCAGATTATATGATAATGGACTGACTCCCCAAGAATTTCGTACTTTCAAGTACTTTTAACTGCTTCCACTTTGTGCAGTGAAGTAGGTTCATGATGATATATCTCTCGGCATTTGCTTTTCGTAGCTGAGTTTATTTTGAGACCTCGGCAGCTACTCGGAGCCGACCACTACTAACCGCGTTGGTGCCCCTGGAACTTTTTCATAGTTTTTAGGTTAGACGAACAGCTTGATCCAAAAGCCTCCGTTTTTTTATCGCTTATTACGCAGACGCAAACAGCGAAGAGTGTCTCGAATGCAGCCTGCCGTGCACCAGCTCCCTGGCTCAGTCTTCAACCAGGTGCTTTTTTGGATATCGAAATGAACCGGACGCATTGGTCAGACTGCGAGACCCAACTCTGTAGCCCACGTGTTACCGTGTTTGGACGTATGCCGTCAAAAGGTCGGTCCTCGCTTATTCTTTCTTTGAGCTTCATACAGTTATCCATCTAGCCAACGACCCTCTCCATAAAAATATGAGCTAATATGACTGTGTAGTTGTGCATCTCAGGCTACTCTTCTGCCGAACGTGATGGACTTCGCCTGGTTTTTTCGGAGCAGTACGATGGAGGAGCATCGCATTTTTTTACTACCTGGTTTCAAGTGTAATTTTGCCACAGAATGATTAATGGAGGCGATAAAGCATATGTTAGTAGTTCTTCCTCGTATTGTTTTTTGCTATCAGTATTGGATTGCTTGGCTGGTAACTCAATACAATGTTGAAAAAAACTATCGCGGTACTCCTTACTTCGGTAAGACTCTAGACCATCTTGTGTGTCTAATTTTGAATCGTGGTGGAATGGTGCGAGTGCTGTGTGCTTCGCCCGTCGCCCTCATCAGAATAGCGGCACTGAAATCCTTAGTGCACATCGATAGGTTCCCCACTTCCACAGGAAAGCTGTTTTTTGTTTGAGATCAAGCAGGACGATCCAGCTCTTCTGTGGTGTCCAAATACTTTGTTTTTTTTTTAAACATGAACTTGGCGCTCTGTCCACTTATTCCGAATTCTACGTAAGCGTCTTTGTGGTGCCATATAAATACCTTCAGACCCTGGTAACTTTCGCTGCCGTTGACCAATAGGGCACAATAGTCGACCGTTTCATTCTGATTGAGACTCTTTGATAGGACTCAGTTGTACGATATTGCCGAGCTTACACTGTCGGATATAATGCTTCATTTCTGTTTTGCATGAATCATTAATTGTCAGGCGAAGCCTAAGATGATTTCCTTCGTCAAAGTGTGTGTAACTGATTTCTCTTTCGACAAACTGCCAATGGTGATCATCAGCGATTCCCTTTTATAAACAGAAAAAGTGTCTGCACTGTGAATTCTGAAAGCAGTAAAAATAATCTTCTCTGTTTCATTTTAACTCCTTTCGAATCCCTTCACAGTTTTTCTCCCTGTAACAGCATGTCGTTGCGTCTCTGTTTGGCAAATAAGCAACCGATGATCCGAAAGCTGTATCTGAGCGTAACTCTAAATTACGCTTTTCGCCTCATAATTTCAACTCTTAACTCGAAATCATCCTCGTTTTCTAACGAGCATCTGTATTTTTCATGCTGTTCGGCGCTTGGGATTAACATGCTTGTATTGGCAAGTGACTGGGACTGTGTCATATCGCCAATTTCAGGCAGAAAAAATCGTTCAGCTGTAGCGCGCTTTCGGTGCCTAACTGCCATGCCACCCAAAGGAAGCACGAGGGCTGGGATACTGCCAGGTTGTCCACGCCTAGACAGGGGAAGTCGAGAGGCAGAGGTCGGGTTCGAACCACGAACTTCTCGGTCAGTAAATTCGCTCTCTAACTACTTCGGCCATCTGAGCCCCAATTTCAGGCACAGGTGGTAGGACGCCCATGGTATGTCACACTCGGCTTAAGTTCCATCAGGTGCGTGGGTCTTGAGCCTTCTAAGAGCGACTTCACGTCCCTTAATGCAAGCCTGAAGTAAACATTAAAAATTTGCGGCTGCTTACTAATCAACCACTTATAGGTACCGGGAAACAGAGGTGGCCACCCATGGAAATGGATCCATGTTTAACACAAATACTCAAAAACTGATTTCAAAAGTATCTCTAGCTCAGTGTTGCGGATGTGAAACAAGGGAGGTGGTTCACTGAACTCAACATATCATTTTGTGCTACCTGATTGGTAGTTGTCCATCTACCTTACTGTGAGATGATGATCAACAACACAATCCGTTTACTGTGATTATCAAAGTTAAATGTGAGTCATTAGCAAAGTGCCTGAAAATATTTATGCTTGCTTATCAGTGGATGAGCATCCCAATACAGAGGTCCACAGCCAACCAAAATATATGAAATCCAGTCTTCGAAACACGATCATAGAATGCCCAGTGCTCGAATGAGAGATCTGTTTGAGGGTTTTGTGTTTAGACGTGGTGTCAACTGTCTTGAAGTGTATTTATTTTGAAAAAGTTACCCGGATGTGTAAGGTGTCTCATTCGTGGGCATGCTGAAAATCCTTTCCTTTGAGTGTGCCCACGGCATGGACATACGAAGAGTTTTGTAACCTAACCCCCATTGGTTGAGTCCAATGTGAGAAAATGGGCTATTAGAAGCATCACGAAAATCCCGAGGTGACTGAAAGTCTAGAGGCACAAGAATTGTCGTCGTCTTTTGAATAACTTCTGTTCTCAAAATTCATAACTTCTAGTGCCGGATTCACTGTGTGTGACCCCATAAACGACTGATTCTATGTACATAAATCCTTCAAATTTGCTCGCAGCTTGTAAAATATTGGAATGTAGTTACTTTCTACACGGAACTTATCCCTCATTCCTTCATCCGTCTGCTGAACCTAATTCAGACGATGCGGATGAGATCCCTGCCACGTCTATCAGTTGTCAATCAAGCACACCGAATTCCGTGGAGATCCTTTGGCGTGAACCGGATAGGCCCAACGACTTGGTCCTCTATTACGTTGTACGATACCGTCCGACTGCATATCTTTTAACTTCAGAAGGGACAAGCTCCAGAAAAGTCGAAAACACCACCATGAACCAGGTTCCTTGGAACATGTGCAACACCACAATCAAGTTGGAGGTGAGAGGGATATTTGTTAGCAACTCACATCGCGCCCGCGCTGGTTTTGCCTTTCGGTGTTGTTTTATGGAGCACAGAATGTGTTTTGGAGTCTATCAATCACACCACCGCCGACTACGTTTACAGCTGTTGTTCCCGAAGTAAAATTTAAGCATCATGTAGGCCAGAAGTCTTGAAGCTGTGCTGTTACAGCCAGATGTTTAGGGAATGAGTGAAGGTATACAAGGAAAACAACCAGTGTTTCAGCTTTTACGCTGCATTGAGCCCAGCCTTACAAGAGACCTGAATGCAGTACTCATTTTTAGAATACTACGGCCATACGTCAGTAGTAATTGTGCTTGATAATTCTATCACACAATCTGATCTTGGAGAGCGTCTTCTTGAAGCCCGACCCAGAAAACAACTTTTGAAAAACATTTTTTTACAGCCTCTACACGTTTTCTTCGCAAGCCATGAATTCTTCAGACAAGTGAATTACAATTTGCCTCACAGAGCACATNATCTCCATTTGCCCGCCTCTGCTGAACCAGCTCTTTTAGTCGGACGAAACAACTGTCCAAAGGAATATCTAAATTTTGTCTTATTAGGGCTCGTGGTTTTGGTGCTCTTCTCTTCCTGTGCAGGTGATTTAATCGAACAAGCATGGAGCTTCTTTGTTGTGATTTCAGTAGGTCACTTGACCTTCTTGATCTATTTCGCCTCTTTTAGACAGGAGAAACCGAATGTTCCTCTCACCACAGAATAGCTCGTACCACGTTTGGTAATTTTTCTTTTCATTCACGCTTATGGTACTAAATTGGATAGGTTTCTTATCAACGTACAACTCTCACAGCATTTGCAAGTCGGTCAAGAACGTCGTGGGAATTACAATGAATGTCGGTATATCAGTGCGAGAGTGTCTTCTATTGGCATGACAAAGATACTGACTCGTGAGCTACCTATCAAACCAGACAGACGAAACAGAAATTATTGTATTCGCCCGGTGTTAACGGACGAATTGTGCGAGTTGGAACGAGGAAGAAATTTTTTCCGGATTTCCCTGGCCTTAACAAACCTACTCCAAAGGGTTTCAACTCGGCTCAGACTACGTCCATAAACCGATGTGCACAGTGCGACGGCTCATGAAAAAATACCGCTTGTTTTGTTTTTGTTTACTCGTGCGTGTGTGGAAGAATTCCACAATGTATATTTTACAGGTCTGTGTTATCCACTGTACTATACAATTCTTCATTAATTGTATTTCGAAACACTCATCCTAAGGTGTGTCCCCAGGTGGAATCCGAAGCAACACTTGACGCGTGAATCGTCGGTATCCCAGGTGCATCTTGGATGCATCGGAAGAGAAGAAACATGGCTTTTTCATACTAGTTAATGCCAGCTCTCTTTCGCTTAGACTTGCCACGACCACTTTCCCCTGAAAGACATCTTTGTGGATGATGTATCCAGTTCAAACTGACCAGGTTCTACTGAAATTGTTTAATTTCTACCTTTTTCTGTGGTTTTAGGAGCTACCGGATCTTTCCACAATTTCAGCTCAAACGGCATGGCTGACCAAATGCGTCTCTGTTGGTCAGTGGTCGGCATTTCAGCAGAACGGGACCCACGAACGCAACGTGGGTGGAACCTTTCTTCGCGAACTTCCTTCTGGGAGTTATCTTTTCCAAATCCAAGCTTTTTCCGTCGCTGGTGTTGGACCCTGGAGTCCAATGCGTATTTTCACAATTGATGCTTATTTGGACACTTCTTTGGGCGAATGGTCGGGTAAGCAAGCTATTCTACCATAAAACGTACTAAGTATTCGATTTGCATGGACTATTACGTACTACGATTCGATGATCTGACGAAAATTACTCCCCGCAGCAGCATATAGGCCACACTTGAGACCTTCATGTAGCGGATGCAAGCCTATATTTCATCTCATATTGACGCTATAACCCATTAGTAGTATAAATCTTCGTACCACTCACGAATAACAGCGAAACCGATGCAGAACACTGATTCTTTTTTGTGTGATCATGAGATGTCACTGAAAGGAAGCGTTGATATGGAAAGGACATGGACCATGGGTATCTACCGTGAGGTTCGCACCTACAACTGCTCACTTGGACCCTCCAGGTGGAAACTGATGCATAAATCACCGCGACCGCGGTTGTGATAGAATATGTGGGATATCACATGATATCCATCCGCAAAGGCTGCTCGAGTAGGCATTTGCGGATTTCTAGTGCTTTCGGGATGGATTTAGGATGGTGTTTTTTGTAAAATTACCGATTGCCTGACAATTATCTCCGGTTCGTTACCCAGCGTAATACTTTGTCCTATCAGTTTATAGCCTATTCTCTTTCGGAAGCGACCAATCTGGGTTGGATTGACAAAATTTTGTTTAGAGCTGCAAACCGTTTTTTTCCAAACAATAGGTTGCAGCAAACCTTCCTGTTGGACTAGATTCACCAGTTGTGTTTAAGTTGCAGATGTCTGGCCGTAACGAAGCTCTAAATGCTTGTTCGTTTTCCGTTTTGCCGGTCTATATTCTGCACACACACAAAAAAAATCGTTCAGCTGTAGCGCCCTTTCGGTGCCTAGCTGTCATGCCACGCGAAGGAAGCACGAGGGCTGGGATACTGTCAGGTTGCCCAAGCCTAGACAGGGGAAGTCGAGTGGCGGAGGTCGGGTTCGAACCACGGGCCTTCCGGTCAGTAAATTCGCGCTCTAACCACTTGAGCCATCTCGCCCCCCACACACAAGTGGATGGTGAATAAAAGACCACAAACCGGACGCGACGGAAGTCCCAAACTCTAGTTTATGAGTTCTTTATGTGCTCTTACTGAGTGATGTTTGAGCGATTTAACTGTGGTAGCCATAAAGTGTGTTTCACTGGCCACGAAACCATGTTTTGTCATTATACGTTATACCATATATATATATATATATATATATATATCATATATTATTGTACGGAGTCGATCGCGCGTACGATATCAACCCATCCTAGACCTGTTCAAAACGTTGAGCCTCATGACGGTGTTTATAGCGGTGTATATCAAGACATAAATTTTTCTCGCCTGGGGAGATTTAGAAATAGGTTCATATTCCTGTATTTATTTTTCGATTAGAGACTTCAGTCAACTGTAATCCTCGTAATTACATTACATATGATTCTCCCGTCATACAATTGCATTAAGCAGTTCAGGTATGTGACCTTACATGGTGCCTCTTTGTGTGTATGGAAAAAGCGTTCAGCTGTAACACCCTTTTGGTGCCTAGCTGCCATGCCACCCGAAGGAAGCACGAGGGCTGGGATACTGCCAGATTGCCCAAGCCTAGACAGGGGAAGTAGAGTGGCGGTCGGATTCGAACCACGGACCTTCCGGTCAGTAAATTCGCGCTCTGACCACTTGGGCCATCGCTCGTTCCATTGTAGATACACCTTACTGTTGTTGAACGGTTCACTACATTATATGTTTATCTACTCTACACAGCGCATCAAATCCTGATCGTTGCGCTCAACTGTTTTCTGGCTGCGTTCTTGCTAACCGTCGGACTGATTGCCATCGGGTGCCACTTACGAAAATGGTAAGCCTCGTTTTCCCCTTTCACTCCAACGAACTGGGACTAGAGTCTGAGGCCGAAGCAATAGTATTTATCGGGAGTTATGAATAGCAAGGGTTTCTGTTATTGAGTAGTCATGAAACACTGTGCGCCTTGTGTCGTAGTGGCTCAAATCAGCACGATATATTAGGCCATATCATCCTTACTGTCACCAAAAAATTGTTGGAAGTTCCCAACGATGAGTTTCCGTTTGAGGGTCTTTTTTGCACCCTTGGTGAAGATGGTGTTTAGTCCTTTACTGTGTGTGTTCATTTTGTCTAGCTATCTGCGTTCAACAACTTGGACTTCAATCAACCCTGGCTATATTGACATTTATGACGTGACAGACGCTTGGGAAATTGACAGAGGCAATATTGATGTGTTGAACTGGAAGCATCCTCTGGGGCACGGGAGCTTTGGAACGGTGTACCGTGGTGTAGTTCGATGCCTTACAACCCCTGCTTCCACACTCCATCCAGATTCAACCAATATCCCAGTGGCCATCAAGGTGCGTTTGTGCGGGTTTCTTTTTAAAACTTTAAGGTTACAGTTAAAGTGGGTTTTCAAAAAAAACATCGGCAACCATAGATCAAACTTCTTCATACCCAATGAACCTTTGTAAAAATGACAGCCTATTCTTAAAAGCGTTTGCCATGTTGTTTTGCTGTTCCACACTATCAGTGGTTTGTTAGTGCTATTATTTTTTACTTGAAGTGATGTCAGAGGGTGAATAACGCTAATAATAAACAGTTATGTATATTAGCTACCAGAGACACTGTAGTACAATTGAATAACACACATAAAGGAAAGGGACTTATCGAGTTCTTCGTTTGATAAGTTGTAGTGGATGATGCAGTTGTATTCAAAGAGGGTCTTGACCGAGCGTTTTGAAATCTGGCCTGTTTCTTGTCGATTAATCCAGACGATATCGAGCCCAGGCTTTTCCCGCCAAGGTGCTGTGTGTAGTGACGAGCGTCGGCACCCTGCTGTCGTTGTTCCGCATATATATATATATATATACATATATATATATATATATAGAAAATTCACTCTGTGTTTGAAGATTCGCTTGCATTGTTTGTCTTATGATAAGGTTCCAATAATCTCGGTTAGTTCGTGATATTCGGATGTTCGTGACATAATCGAAACAGGAGTGAAATAGTGGCTGTGCATGTGTTAAACAAAATATGTTGGTGGTTGAAGATAAACGTTGACGGGATGGTAACTTCAGTTTCAAGTAAGACATTTTGAACATCCACATGGGATCATTAAAAATCATCAGGAAATTGTATGCCGATGCGCACATCAGTGCAAATATCTGCTATCCACAGCAGTCATCATCATCATCATCATCGACAGCATGACATCCAGTGTTCGACACCGATGCTTCACTGCCCTATCCAGAACACTAATGCATTGTGAGATCACTGATTACTCAGCAACACTGTCTCGCCCGTCGTGGCAACAAGGCTTTTTGGATATGATTTCGTTTCTAAAACACATAGTATGATTCACTAGAAAATGACGAATAAACAAACCAGTAAATGCTGTTAGAGCAAGCACTCTCATGGTAATTTGGAGAGAACGAAGAACTCTGGGCTCAGTTTCTCGCGTATTATGTATGAATTTAAGGGGTTACTTATCGACAACACCGCACTGGATCTTCGTTGAAAATGCACTGTAGGGGAGCACTGCGAATGCTGATGAAATTATGCGTCTGCGGTGTGGCTCTCTTGAATTTTTTAAGTTTATCTTTTTCGGGGTACTTCTCAATGCGTTTTTCTTTCATAGACCATCAACAACACGACAACCTTATTCGATCATCGCGATTTCATTACTGAAGCGTGTCATATGAAACAATTTCATTCCTACCACCTCGTTTGCCTTCTTGGATTGGTGACCAGAACCGGAAAGAACGAACGTCTACCAGATCAACATTGTGACTTGTTTCGTGGCTTGATTAGACGGATCCGATTATTGAGTCGATTTGGTCAGACTAGTTCATCTGATCCACCGTTGTGCCACCCAGATATCACAGTTTGCACAGACACTCCGGATCAGTCGTCACGTAAGTTCTCCCAGAAAAGCTTCTCAGTTTTTCTCCGGTTTTAAACTACGTAAAATCTTCTTGAGTACCTTATGCTCGAGAACATCGCGTCCTCACTTCCCAACTGATCCGATCAACGGGTCGAAAGAAGGCAGGTGTCAGTGACACAATATGCGAAAAAGATGGGACAGCGATTCACTCCCTCAATCACCATCTTAAGCGGTGGGATGAACAATTTAAAGACAGTTCACCTGGTCTCCTTCAACACAACCGCTGGAAGAACCGAAAGGGCCCGAATGGAACATTGATATCAACCCACCATCAGCAACCGAAATCCAGCGCGTACGAGTATACGGGAAGATTTCTCCTGAGTTCACCAATTCCAGTGGTGTAAGACAAGGCTGTCCTCTTTGCCGTCTCCTCTTCAACTTTGTTATTGCTATGCTGCTCGAAATTCCTCTGAAACCTCGGGAGTCGAAATGCTCCCGGAACATTCCCTTACAGTCATTGACTATGGAGACGATATTGCTCTTCTTGTTTCAGATCCTTCTCGAATGCAAACAATTTTAACTAAATAACCTAAATAACTCTGCCGCACGGTGTAATATGCGCCTCACCCCTTCAAAGTATAAAGTACTGCTACAAGACTGGGTGGGATCAAACTCACACCCCATGTTTGCAGGTGAACCAATCGACGTGGTAGATAGTTTTTTACCTGGACATCTGTATAGGTTCTGGTGAACTGGCTGGAGATGAAATCGTTCATCGAATAGAAAAGGCCAAGGCAGCTTTTGCCAACCTCCGAGTTTATGTCACCGACGTGACGTGAGCTTATCTGTCAAGGGAAGAGTCTACAATGCGGTGGTGCGATCCATGCTGCTTTATGGACCAGAGACGTGGCTCCTACACGCAAAGAACATACAGAAGATGTCAGTGTTTGATCATCGATGTCCCCGTATTGATCAGGTTTGGTTGGAACATCGGATTAGTAATGCTGAGGTACGCCAGATTGTCTTAGGAATAAGGAACTCTCTCGCGATGGATGAATTACTCACGCTTCATAGGCTGGGCTGATTGGGACATATACTTCGCATGCCAGAAGACCGTCTGCCTCATAGAGCTGTTTTCGCCCAACCCTGTACTGAGTGGAAGCGACCGAGAAGTGGACAGTGTATGACATGACAATGAAGTACGAAAACACTAACCAGTAAACTTAGTCGGGTGGGTAACTGCCGCCTCGCTGGATGGAGACTCTGGGACTCAAGTCACTAGTGCTTAATGAAATAGGCGGAAATGACCCAATCGCGCAGTCAGTGGCGCTCGTGCATCAAAGCTGTCACCTTGAATGCCTTGCTCCCCAATTTCTGAACAAGCTTTCGCTTCAAACCTCGGTTGTAGGTTCTACTTTTCCGTTTTCTGGTGATCGTAACTGTAGCAGCTGGAACCAATGTGCCTATGGTACACGGTTTATAGCTGACAAATTGAATTTAATTGCTCGGCGTTTCTTGGTTGTTTGTCTGTTCGCCAGGCCTGGCAGTTTGATTTCAAGCGTTTCATCACCAGTTGAGCTGACATAGTCAATGCGGGATTGAGCTGGTAATTCCATCCTCTTCTGTCTGTGCTCAAGTGGTGGCTAAACATTTTCTTAACAGATGGTGTTTAGATTTGTTAGCACAGACAGAAGGGGGTAAATTCACTCACTCACCCCCGCCCTGACGTCACCTTGTTTGGTGATGAAACGTTGGCAGTCCAACTACCAACAACCAAGCAGCTTATCCGAGGTACCCATATTGCGCAACATTGCTCGACGTTCCATTTCGTTTGTTTCGTTCTCTATAGTTCGTGGTTACATTCAATTGGTGTTTTCTGTCTTCATTTCTATTGAATTTTACCACATTGATGATAGATGGAACATCTCCAAATGCTTACCGAAACATTGCAAAATAGCATCAAATGGGAGTTCGTTGCGCTTACAATAAGAAAATCTTAGCTTTGCTGAAACACTTGTGCAGCCCATTCAACTCTTGAGACCTGATGATGCGATCATACTCTTGGGCCATCAGGTGCGACTTGACGACTGTTGCGCCATCGGAACAATTACAAGTGATCAAGCTTTGTGAAAGATACTGGAAATGCTGAAAAATACTACGTCCATTTTCTGCGCATTCGAAACGAAAGTGACCAGTTGGCCGTAGAGGTTTGGTGTCAATCCTGAAATACGTTTTTAATCGCTGCTACTGAATAGCAGAAAGTAGTGTGGTTTGGCCCGTTGACTCTGCACTGGCTAACTTGGTCGTTTCTAGGTCTGTCGGTAGATGGAATCCGAGCAACTGGAGAAGTTGTTGCATGTTTGTAGTGCCAAAAACACTGAACGAGGAATATGTTAATACCAACACAATGTAATGTGCGTACTTGTCGCATGTAACATAGTGAGGCAAGCCAACCATAGGTCAACATGTGCTGAACGTACTGAACGTACGTTTACTAGAAACTGACTGGTCAATATTAAGATTTCTTGGCAATGCACACTTTTGTATGATGGAGCAACTACTGAGACTTCTGATATATCATTAATGTATATATTTGAACCAACTCCTAACGTAAGTTCAGACAGATGTGGTTGGAAATCCATAAGATATGCACTTTTAGGTATCAGCAATCGTCAACAACCGAACGTGCAGTTGTTTCCCATTTCATTGGTTCACAAAGCGCCAATGACAAAACGCCACTTGTTGGTGAGCCAGTTGACTTGTTCGTTGAGCCAAATCGCACTACAGTTTTACCGAATCTAAAAAAATGATCAATTTCATGCTTATGGATTGAATAGAATAGATCGAATGTCGCTGTATAGGTTTACTGCATGAACCCAAGACTTCGGCCGCTCGCACGGGCGTTCTTGAGTTACCCCATTTTCGTGCAGATGTTTCGAAGTATAGCTCCAACTATGCATAACGACTCTTTCTATAGTGACAAGATAAGTTTTTGGTACCCCCTTCCCTATGCAATGCGATAATCTGATTAACGCTGTCGAAACTGCTTGTGTTTTTCCAAGCGAAATGTGTTCGAATAAGCTTGCACAGCTTGTTTGTCGGCGCAGTCTAATAGTGTAAAAATAAACAGGCCCATGCGTGAGACTGTAAAGCGAACCTTTTGGGTTAAGGATAGCGAACTAATGTGTAAAGCAGAAAATTAAATAATTACAGCAAAGAAAACGGGAAATTTTGGCGAGAAATTTCAACGCAATTGTTTATTTAAGAGATATCTAATATGGTGCTTTTTCTCCACATTTTTCGCGATATACATATCATCCTCATTCCTGTCTGGCAGTTGGCGAGGACATCAATGGTAGACCAGTGCGGCACCAAATTAATGCACACTGTGTCGCTCCGAACAGTCCGTTGGTAGTGATGGAGTTGATGGCTGAAGGCGACTTGGTCAAATACCTACGCCACTTAGGTGACACCGGGTTGGGTTCCGTGGAACCCGCACAAGCCTACCTTTGGGCAACTCAAATTGCAGATGGGATGGCCTATTTGGCGGCGAAGAACTACGTTCATCGGTAGGTGGTTCTGGCCGTTTATCATTGTGCAGTATTTCCCGTGATCGACACTCGGATGTATGTACAATAATATCCTTTTTAATGAATTGTTGACACATTGGTTTATGCTTACTTTGTCGTTTATTCGTTACCTTCTTTGCACTCACTAACAGCCTCATGATATTTCTCCCGTTTATTTACACACTCCGTCCATGTGTTTTTCCTCACCTGTTTTACTCATCTGTACCCGCCATTCACCTTGCTGCAAGAATCCGTCCCGTCCGACACTGGTATACTAGCATGTGTGTATGTGTGAATGTGCGCAGCTGACATATCTTGTGTACGACCCTGGTTTTATCTGCGAGATCCGGTAACACACAAGAATTTCTGTTAATCGATCACATTTGGGCTTATTAAGTGACTCATTATCTGAAATTTACTGTGTTCCATTGTTTTCAATGATAATTTGCTGTCTATTGCAAATGAAACTCTTGTAAATGGATTTATTTTCGGGGTGCATAGGTATATTAATGGCACGTTCATGGATGTTTTAGCCGTTGCAACCTTGTGCCAATAAAATACGGAAATGCTGTTGCATTCTGTGGACAGTCTCAGTGGAAAACGTCCTCAGAAGGGAACGCTTTTAATTGGTCCCTTTGTCTTCCTTTCAATATGAGAGCGCCACATTTGGTAAGCACTTCAAAATAGTTTCTCCAGAATAGGACAACCGCGGTCCAAACCGTGTGTGTTTTTCTCTTCTCCGTTCTGGGTTGTAATGGAACGTGATTTTCTGGACTACAGAGGTTTAGGGTCGATCTAGCTGTACAGCGCTTGGTGAATATGGCTAAAGTAGTACAACTCAGCTGCTCCTTCGTGGCACAGCATGACTGTGCTGCTTGGTCCCCTTGCCGAAAGATATCTGATAAATTTGTATTGTTACTGCGAAGCAGTTTTTCCTTAAAAACAAACGTATTGATGGGTAGTTTCCTATTGATCGAGTGTTTATCTTCGAGACTAACTGGTGCCACTAGTTTCATACCGTTTCGGTCGTGACATGGAGCAGCGTGTAAGCGTCAATTGAGTTTCATCACGTTCGGCAAATGCGTATATAATCTCAGTCCATTTTGACTGACTATCGTCACAGACACTCGCTCGTAACACAAATGACGTGCAATCTTACAAGTTGCGCGGTTAGGGAAGTCAACGTCAGGAAGGTTTTATGCATCCAAAAGGATGGATTTCCACTGTTGAAAGGACTCTCGTTAGCTCTGTCTCAGTCCAAGTTCTAGCCTACATGAAGTAGCTATTGTGAGCTTCCAAATAGGAAGCGAAGTTCCGAAGACAACGAAAAATGAAATGAAGATGATATTCTGGGAAGGGTAATCACCATATTCAAAAAATCGAAGAATGCAAATAAATAATTAACCCACTTCAGTATGTTTTGTAATGGATTTTTAGAATTAACTGTGATCGATGCACATGGAAGCCTCTTCTGCGAAGATTCGGCCCTGTAAAGGGTGCTGTATAAGAGCCGTAACAGAAAAATGACTCATCAAAATACATCAACAACAGAATGGGACGTGCAAATTATCAGAGCTCCTTTTCATGTTTAAGTTTTGGTAGTGAATCCCCAACCTGGAGATCAGAGTGTATTTGATCAGTGGCATATTCCGCCGATCGGATCCTTTGATGTTCCATATTTCCCGATGGATATCGGCCGTTGTACCAACTTATCTGGGTGTCGCCTTATTATAAGTGAGCCGTAGTCACTCGCATCTCGTAGTCACCATCCCGTACATGGATGATGCAGTAACCCTCTACCCTGTTAAGCGCCCCCTTGTATTCCTCGTTACTACTGTCAGGCGAGGGAACACCCGTGAGATTTTGATCTTCTGTTCTCCTTTCCACAATCAGTGATTTGGCTGCCCGAAATTGTTTGGTTAACGCTCGCCTCATTGTGAAAATCGGCGACTTTGGCCTCTGTCGTAACGTCTACGGGCAATATTATTACCACAAAAAGACCTGTGGTCGCTTGCCAATTCGTTGGATGGCTCCTGAATCACTACAGAAAGCCCGGTTCACCTCTCAGTCAGATGTTTGGTGGGTTTCAGTTGTGTTTGATCTGTCTTTGCAGTTATTCTCGTGGCTCAAGTTTCCTCGCATTTGTATGGAGCAGCGATTCCTAACTTTACTCCTTGTCCTATGACAAATCCACTTGGTGTGGTAGAACGCTTGGTGCGATTTAATGGTTCATTGAGTGCGACAGAACATAATAGCAAATACATTCACAGACAGCAGTCCAGCTGAAACAACTACGAAACAGTGCTGACCACCTGAAACACCAATATCCTTGGGTGTGAATTGGTATCCCAGTTTTTTAGACCGGCATACTGATTACTTTTCAGTTGCTACCGACCAAGATTTTCCCCATGGTTTTACTCTTTAGTTGTTTGAAATCTTGTTTTATCTGGCCCCTGTTCCACTTGAAGATGAACCTCATAAACGAGAGGTTAAGCTTGATTCATTTGATTGATTCCTTTCCGTCGAGACCAAAGTAATGTATCAATTAGTGTATTTCGTTAACTGCGTGTTATGTGGGTTAAAGTGAAACACAAAGTTGACGGAAGCTAGGGGAATGTGTCTACCGTAGCCCGAAGAAGGGCAAAACCGCTTGTGAGCTGTTTAAGAGTTTTCAGCAATTTACAAGTAGTGTGTCCCACTTGAACTTTTCACGCTCTCTCACTAAATCTTGTGTTTTATCACTGCTTAATATGTAGAAGTGGCGCTTTACTGATGTTCGAATTGACGTCGAGCGATATCTCAGTGGTGCGATGCCTTGTAGAGCTCGTTCTCGTACGTGTTCAGTTCACATCTGCTGTGAACATGTAAAATGGGGCTGTCTTTGGTCATATGCACGTCGGTGATGTTGCATATTCTTAATACAACACATAGGATGCATGGTAACTGTTAAGCGGAGCTGCTCGCTCAAATCGTCTCGCTGCTCGCGGGTGTTGTAACAGTCCATTAATCTGATTTTCATGTGATTGACCAAGAGATTGGATTCGGACAACCTCTGATTGGTCGAAAGCGTGACTAATAATACCCCAGTGTTGTTTCCAGGAGGTAGAATTTTCAGCATACTACCGTTTCATCCCAAGGTCGAAAGCGTATCGGTTTCTGTCGCGAAGACCTCATGTTCCGCGTCAACTGGACTGCTCGGATTAGGAGGCATTTACATTTGGCTTTGGACAACATGGTCGTAGACACAAGAAAATCAACTCGCACGCTTAGTCTATCTATTATCCCCGTACTTTGATAACTGGATACGCACCACGCCAAACGCATACTTACGAGCACTAAACGCGGAATGCTGTCAAACAATGCTGAATGCTCTTCAAGGCGCGGTAAGCGCCTTGAACAGTCAAGTTTCAGACGTCAGGCACAAAGTGTCCGTTATACTGGGTCTGGTCTGAGGGTAAATAGCAAAATTGTGCACTCAACACCATGTGCCACGCATAAGTCTCGTAAGTACGTAGAGAGCCGACATTGGCAAGCAAACACAGGTCACTAACTACGACCTTAGCAAGTCCTAGTCCAATAACAGCCTTCGCGGATTGAGGAAATCAGATCCCTCATCATCATCATCATTGTCAGCTGTAAGAACCGCGTACTGGTCGTACACTGGTTGTAGCTGCCACAGTTTCGTTCACCGATGATTTGGGGGACGGGCTAGGTAGCTGCGCATTGCACGCGCGAGCTGGTAAATTGGTGCATAAATCTAGCACTGTCAGTGGGTTGTCAAGCGGGGGTGGGTGGAAAAGGAGCTATGCATTGAAGGCAATAGCTTTGATGCATGAGCGCCATTGAGGGCGCGACTGGGCCATGTCTGATAATGTCTCTAGCCATTGATGTGGCCCATCTCGGGGTCCCCATCCAGGAAGACGGCAGTGACCAGCGCAGCTGAGTTTGCTGGTAATGGCTTTCATACTTCGTTGCCAAGTCATTGTTTGACCGCCTCTGGCTCTCTTCCACTCTTCACATGGTTGGGCGAAAAGAGCCCTTCGAGGAAGTCGGTCGACTGGCATACGCAACACGTGGCCAAGCCAACGCAACCTGTGCAGTGTGATCAGTTCATCTATCGAGGGTGAGTTATTTCTCCCGAATACAATTCGACGTACTTCAGGATTGCTGATCCGGTGTTCCCACCAGATTCGGGCAATGCTCCGAAGACA